AATTAAAATTAAAAAATAAATAAATAATTAAAAAACAAACAAAAACAAAAAACACTTGCTGTTCAATCATAAGGACTGGATTTCAGATCCTAGCATCCACGTAAAAACTGGACACGTTCTTGCACACATCTTATAAACCCAGCAATAAGTGGAACAGAGACAAGATTTTTGCTGGAGTTTGCTGACTGATGGCCTAGCCAAAATAACCTGAGTTCCAGGATTAGTGAAGGATCTTTCATCAAAAGGAAAAGGTGGGCTAGAGAGATGGCTCAGGGGTTAAGAACGCTGGCTGTTCTTGCAGAGGCCCAGGTTCAAATCCCAGCAGCCATATGGAGGTTAACAGCCATCCATAACTCCAGTTCCAGGAGATGAGATGCCCTCTTCTGTCCTCTGTGGGCACTGCACAACATGGGTGCACTTACATACATGTAGGCAATATATGCATACACACAAAAGTAATAAAATTGTTTTTTAAAAAAGGAAAAGACACAGAGTGATAGAAGACACCTGATACCCGCATTTGGCCTCCACCCATGCACAGGTGCATGTACCCACACACACACACATACATACATCCATACAAAATTATGTCATCTGACTGAAGTAATACTTCAATGGTAGAGCACTGGCATAGCTGTGTAAGGCCCTGGGTTGAATCTCTAGCAATAAAAGCAAAACAATACCCATCATTTGAAATAAGAATCCACACATAGGTAGCAAAAAAATCACTATGTAAGGCCAGACTAGCTTACCTTGTGTACCAATGTAAGCATTCTTCTGCTTGTAGCCATCCATGAAACTGGCATTGATGTAATCTGTCTAATGATAAAAAAGGAGACATTATTACAGGAGCATGGATATACCATTTGGCTCACAAAATGATGTACTGGGTTAGTTCACCTCAAAATATGGCTATTCTATTCCTGTCAAGAAGAAAAGGAGAAGAGGCCAATTAAGCACTGAAAAAAAAAAAAATCCTGCATTACATTTATGATTAATGAAAGGGACTTAAGAGGAGGCAGGGATATAGCTAAGTGGTAGAATCCTGTGGAGGCATGGGCTTCAACTTACTCCAACAAATGGTACTGAGACAAACAATTATCTATACAGAAAAATCAAGCTGACGCCATCATATCATACACAAAAATTAACTTAATTTGTCCAGGTGTGGTGGCAGATGCCTTTAATCCCAGCACTCGGGAGGCAGAGGCAGGTGGATCTCTGTGAGTTCAAGGCCAGCCTGGTCTACACAGTGAGTTCCAGGCCAGCTGGGGCTACAGAGAGACCCTGTCTCAAAAAGACCAAAAAAAAAAAAAAAATTAATTCATCTACAGTGGGACATGTCTGTAATCCCAGCACTCAAGAGGCAGAAGAAGGAAGATCACTACAAATTCAAAGGCAGCCTTGTCTACAATAGTGAGTTCTAGGCTAGCAGGGATACATAGTAAGAACCTCCCTCACCAAAAAAAAGAAAAAAAAAAAACAAACATAAAAACAAATACCTCAAAATAGAACAAAGACCCATAGCAAGATATTAAAACTATTAAACTCTTAAGGAAGGGAGGTAGAAATATAAACATAAATCTTTGGGGCTGGAGAGATGACTCGCAGTTAAGAGCATTGGCTGTTCTTGCAGAAAACCTGGGTTCGAATCCCAGCACCCACATGGCAGCTAACAACAGTCTGTAACTCCAGTTCCAGGGGATCCAATACCTTCTTCTGTCCTCCATGGGTACTGCGTAACACGGGTACACTTACACACATGCAGGCAATATACTCATACACATAAAATAAAAATAGATTTTTAAAATTCAGAAATATGCTGGGCGTGGTGGTGCACACCTGTAGTCCCAGCACTCTGGAGGCAGAGGCATGCGGATCTCTGTGAGTTCAGGGCCAGCCTGGTCTACATAGTGAGTTCCAGGACAGCTGGGGCTACAAGGAAACACTACTTCAAAAAAGACACACACACACACAAAAAAAATCAGAAATGTAAGCATAAATCTTTATGGCCTTGAATTAGGCAAAAACTCTTAGATATGATGTTGAAGTCACAAGATACAAAAGAAAATACAAACTAAACTATATTAAAATTGACAGTATTGCCAGTGTGGTGGTACAAGCCTGTAACACTCAGCACATAAGAGGTAGAGGCAAGAAGATCAGGAACTCAAGACCAACCAGGCCAACCTAGTGAATCAAAAGATAGCTTAGGTTACATGAGATCTTGTTTCCAAAAACAAAACAAAACAAAAAACAACAAAACCTCCAACAACTTTGTACTCCAAAGGACATCAAGAAAGTAAAAATGAAAAAACTGAATCATAGGTGGGGTGGCAGAGGCCTGAAATCCCAGTACTTGGGAGGTAGAAGCAGAAAGATTACAAGATCAAGCCCAGCCATATATAGTGACTTCTAAGCAGCCCTGAACTACATAGTGAGACTATTTCAAAAACAAGCAACAACAACAAAGTAAAAAAAGAATCCATATTCTGATGTGCATACAGAACTGACTACTCAGTAATAAAAACATATCCTGATTTGAAACAGTGCAAAAGATAGATCTTTTTGCAACAATCTGATGGTCAATTAGTACATGAAAAGACAAGTAAACTCTGTTACCCAATGAAATATATGTATAAAAATATAGAGGAGTACCCCGGCATGGTGGCACATACCTTTGATCCCAGTACTTGGGAGGCAGAGGCAGGTGGATCTCTGGGAGTTGAAGGCCAGCCTGGTCTACATAGTGAATTCCAGGACAGCTGGGGCTACAGGGAGACCCTGTCTCAAAAAGACCAAATCTAAAAGCTGACATATTAAGAGCTGGAGAGACAGCTTAGTGGTTAAGAGCACTGGCTGCTCTTCCAGGAGACCCAGGTTCAGTTCCCAGCACCTACATGGTGGCTAACAACCATCTCTAACTCTAGTTCCAGGAGATCCAACAGTTTCTTTGGGCCTCTGTGGGCACTGAACGCATGAGTGCACTTACATATATGCAGACAGAACACTCATACACATAAAATAAAAATAAATCAATCAAACAAATTTTTAATTAAAAAAAATATAGTAAGAACCCAAGGTTGGCAGCACATGCCTTTAATCCCAGCACTCTGGAGGCAGAGGCAGGTGGACTCTGAGTTGTTAATGAGCCTGGTCTATATATTGAGCTCCGGGCCAGTCAAGGCTACATAGTGAGACCCTGTCTCAAAACAAACAAAACAAAACAGTAAGGAATCCTTCACATCCCCAAGGATGGCTAAGACAAAAAAGGATAGTCTACTAACAAGTGTTTGCATGAGAATTTGGAACCCTCATCCAAATTAATGGTAATGTAGAATGAAAATGGTTACCTAATCATAGACATGAATATTCGTAGCTTTATTCTCAACAGCCAAGAGGTGAACTGATCATGTCACATTAATGATAAAGATTTCAGAAATAGGGGCTGGAGAGATGGCTCAGTGGTTATGAGCACTGACTGCTCTTGCAGAGGACCCAGGTTAGATTCCCAGCACCCACATGGCGGCTACGAACCATCTTTAACTCCAGTTCCAGGGGAATCCGAAGCCCTCTTCAGATCTCCATAGCATTGCACTCACATACATGCAGGCAATACACTCAGACACATAAAACAAAAATAATAAATATTTAAAAAAAAAAAAAAAGATTTCAGAAATAAGAAGCCACATTTTGAGCCGGGCATGGTGACACATGCCTTTAATCCCAGCACATGGGAGGTAGAGGCAGGCAAATCTCTGTGAGTTTGAGGCCATCCTTGTCCACTTAGCAAGTAGACCAGCTGGAGCTATAGAGAGATTCTCTCCTAAAAAACAAAACAAAACAAAAACCCAAACAAAACACTGGAATTATCTCAAAATCCTCCAACTAATGAATAAAATGTGGTTTACTCACACAATAGCTTTATTTGACAATAATGAGTAAAGTTCCAATATATATTACAACACAGATAAACTATCAAACATTTTATAAGTGAACAATGCTAGACAGAAAAAGCACATACTTCATGATTCTATTTATATAAAATATTTGGAACTGGGAAATCCATAGAAAACAGTTGTTCTGTGCGGGCAGCTGAGTGATCAAGCACTTGCCTACCATGTATGAAGTCCTGGATTCTACCCTAAGCACCTTTTAAAAACAAAGCCAAACAACTAAAATAAAAGAAAATAAGAGTGAATTAGAGAAGTGGAAAATAAGTGCCAAGTCATATAATTTCTTTGAGAAATTAAAAAAAAAAACAAAAAACCTAAATTTGACTGTGGATTTAATGATTGCTGTACAACTCAATGATTTATAAACTTTACATGCATGAGTTTTACAGTATGTAAATTATATCTTTTTTTTTTTTTTTTTTTTTTTTTTTTTTTTTTTTTCTCGACAGGGTCTCCCTGTAGCCCCAGCTGTCCTGGAACTCACTATGTAGACCAGGCTGGCCTTGAACTCACAGAGATCCGCCTGCCTCTGCTTCCAGAGTGCTGGGATTAAAGGTAGGTGCCACCTCTTGATAGAGCTGTTATTTACGAAACAGAAACCCATTAGGGCTTGCAGCACTGTAGCACAGGATGAAATTGAAACCAAGCCAGACAACCTAAGCAGGAAAGTCTCATCCATCCACTTTAAAAAAGATAACATGTTAGAGGAAGGAAGAGTTATCCTTCACATCTAGGACCATCAATCAGGGTAGACCAAACACCCAGAATTCATTACCACTTCTAGTACTGTATAGCAACTTCCAGATAAACTCAAAGGAATCTCAATGACCAGTTTCTAACTCCCTCTCTTCCAAAGTCTTCTTTCACTTCCCAATGTGTTCAGTCTGATTTTTGTTTTCAATCTTTTTAGGGTTTGGTGGTAAGGATTTTGCTATGTAGCTCAGGCTGGCCTCAAATTCACAATCTTCCCATTCAGCCTCCTGGACACTGGAATTATAGGGGTATATCACCATACCAAGCTTGAACATAATTTTTTTTTTTTTGTCTTTTTGAAACAGGGTCTCCCTGTAGCCCCAGCTGTCCTGGAACTCACTATGTAGACCAGGCTGGCCTTGAACTCACAGAGATCCGCCTGCCTCTGCCTCCCAAGTGCTGGGACTACAGGCGTGCGCCACCACGCCCAGCTTTGAACATAATTTTTATAAAAATTACTCACAGGATCCCTACCAACAATTTTAACTGAGACTGATGAAAAATGTTATAAATACTCAAAAGATCTTGAGTTTAAGGCTAAATAAGGAGACCATCTCAGGAAAAAAAAGATTGCTACAGCTACAGTTTCAAGTCACACTACAGGTAGCTGAAAGTTAAATGGACAGAGGCAGTAGAATGGATACAATGAGGGAAATAAAAGACGTTCCAATAGGTAACAAAGGAAAACCCACACTTTACTGTAAAGAGGTCAGAATGACTCTTCCTCAAACTATGACTCTTCCTCCAGCAGCTCCTACGGCGTGGATGGCAGTCTGAACTGTTAGTATTCCACTACCACCCTCATAAGACTCCACCTCCTGTTACTTGGATATGTGTCCATCCTAACTTACCACTCCACTATTTGTCAGTGGTGTTTCTTGCTCTTCTGACAACCCATCCCATGCAGCTAAATGACTTCGTGCTATCACTATACCTTGACTTGGGCAATTTCCCCAAGCTAGTAGCCTACTTACAGAGACCTAACAAGCTAAAAGCTTCACTCATTCCCGAACAGACTTCTAAGCCCAAGGCCCCCAGAGTAAAGCAAAAATTGTCCTAGTCTCTTCTCAGCCTAACATTCAAACATTATATCCTGTAGGATCTAAAGGA